AAGATCGTGTCATCGGTTGGTGCAATCCATTTTTGCAGTTAGGCTCGAACTTAACGCTAAGCATAACCTTAAGTCTTTCTTAAATGTTTGGTGCAAGTGGGCATAAGGGGCAAAGTTTTGACTCTTGAAAGCCACATACTTGGGAAACCTTCTCTGAACACCCCCCAGTTGGTCGATATACTTGTCAAACATGGGGTTCTATGCAACCGCTCTATATTCAAACTTAGAAAGAACGAGGCTGAAATACAGCAACTTAAGTATGATTCAGTAAGTTTCAGTAAAAGTTGGATATCCGTAGTTGTCTTCATAAAATAAGCTGCTGATTGTAAAATAGAAGTGAAGCGTTCCGAACCGTTCTACTTTTATTTGAAGACCCTAAATCTACTAATTAGACAAATACTCACCATTAACTTTCGTGCATTCATTATATTGGGTAGCAAATGCTACTTGCGCTTTTTCAAGCTCGTTTATATCATGGGAAAGAGCCTAGAACAAAATTTAAAATCGTTAAAGGGAATTTCAACTTAATTTGTGCAAATAATCCGTTACCTTTGTCTTATTGTGAACCATATCTATAAGCTTCAAAATTTCGCTAACATTGCTAGGTATTGGTAATGGGTGAATAGGTCCAGCACTTTGTACTAGCTTCAATTCAGTGGATAAACATTGTCGAATATAGTGAAACAGCTGGGTAGGATTGGAACTGCAATAAAAAATACTATTAATAACGTTAATTTTCAATTACAATTTAATAATAATGTTCTTAGGTCGATAGTAAATTCGGCGACATAAAGGTAGACTGAAAATAAAAGAGTCCTAAAGGCAATTTGTCCCGATTTTGGTAAATCAGGCTTTGAGAAATAGGTCAAATGTAAAAAACTGAGTAATAAGTATCAAAACCAAGCAATTTAATTTCGAAAATTTTAATTCTATTCTAAAAATCTAGAAACAGTTAACAATAATGATAAATTAATTGATTAACATTAATAGTATTAAAAACAATACAACAAAGAACAATATTTGAAAAAATAATAAGATATATTAAAAATTATGTAATATTTTACTGCTGCCCCATTAGCATTTAAATCTAATTTCAGGCGTGTGGGCATGGAAGGAATTAAGGTGCTAGTTAGAGTATTCTGGTGTTAGCTGATCCCAAGTCTCTTCATTTTTTACCATAATTCATGGTGTTTGCGGGAAAAACTTTTTCTATGCATCTTCTTACTTATGTACCCCCACACATTCTCTATTGGATTTAAATCAGGGCTCCTCGAGCACCAGTGTAAACAATTAATTAAATTTTCAAATAACCAATTTTCCACTATTCTAGATTTATGAACAGGGCAGTTGTCTTGTTGGAAAATACATTTTTTGTTATTTCCAAAAAGGCTACTTATCCAAGACCACAAGTTGACAAAAACGTTCCACTGTGCTGATGTTTTCAAGTATATATATGTTTCATTAAATATTGAATTTGGAGGCTGAAAGACTCGAACTTTACCATTATGTGAGGACTGAAACACTTTTTCGTCGCTAAAAATCGCAGTATCCAAAAAATTCTGATCTTTAATCAACAACTCCATGGCATATCCAAATATAAGATTAGCGTCTTCTAAATATTTTGTTTTCTTTAGCAATCCCGTGCTTATCGCGCGCCTTACAGTTCCATGTTCTTTCCATTTCTTAAAAAAATAATTAAAAAAAAAACAGAAAATCAATACATTGCCTTTGAAGAATAGTCGAATGCTAACGCGTCAATAAACCAATCAAATAAAGTACTATAATGTTTAAACTACATATTTACCTAAAAAGTATAGTAGTAAATAAATTATATATGTATTTGGTATTAAAAGTTGCCATTTACAATATCAATATATTATATGTAAATACATATTCAAGAATATTATCTTGCGTGCGTCGGTCGTTCCATGCCAACATTGCACTGAAAAATACTTTTAGTAATTTTTACGCGTTTATTTTCATGCAACTAATAGGAATCGTATGGGGCTTATGGGAGTTCATCTCTATTTTACTAGCAGGGCTGAGTACCATTGTGAAAAAAGTAATCTAACAGGAAAACAAATAGCTACATAAAAAATTGACAAAACACATACTGGAAGATCAAGATTCTGAGATAGGAATTGCGTAGGCGAGCACGTTGGTACAATACCAACATTGTTTGTCATTTACCATAATTATTTTCGTTTCGCTAATGAGAATTCAGCAACCAAACAAGTTAGWTGCTCTGGTTAAAAAAAACGTATAGATAGATGTATGTACTCTTTGTTACTTACCAGTGCAAGGAAAGGTCATAAGTTTATATAAGTAAACCSTAGTAAATAGATAAGTGAATAATTTTACTAACTCGAAAAAAATTWATCACCAACATGCCCTAATATCTAAATAAACCTATYATAAAAGTATTAAGTATTTATATAGACTTTACAATAAAACAAGCTTAGATAAGGCAAYTTATATTCATACACATAATGACTTAACAAAATGAAATGATTTATGAGTCACATTTCATGAATAATGAYTGAATTAATGCTTGCAAGAAAATCCGTATACATAGAAAATAAATAATAACTAGAAATAAAAGATTATTTACGCTGCATCTAAAAAWTGCGAGCCTTGTTCAGTACCGAGATGCTTGAGCTAATTGATTTTTGATGTTATGTTTCTATCGTTAGCTGTGTAACCAACCAAATTATAAAATGATATATATAAGATKTTGGCTGTTACTAAATATTTACAATAAAAATTCTACCAAAACATAATTGCTCTACGAATATTAACTGATTTCCACGAAGTATGTAGTAATAAATTTTAAGCAGTGTTGTGGTGAGTTTTCATTCAGTCGATAAACATTATTTATTAGCCAGTACAACTACATGTTTTATCTAATCTTAACTCAGAATGCCAATAGAACACCACACCTTTATTAAGTAAGGAAGGACATTGCTTGGTAACGATTAACTTTACCTAAGTTAACTCGCAATATTGGTCTAGGATAGCTATAAAAACCGCCTTTTTGAGTAGGTCAGAAATTCATACGACACACACATGTGTATACACTTCTATTACTATTCTTAGCCCGCATTTTCGTAGGCACAACGTACGAATGAATGTTTATAAAAATCGGCAACGCTTACATGGGTGAAGTGAGATGTTTTTGGGGATATTTTAAATAAATAAATATCAATCTAAAATTATATCATCGGCGGCAAGAATTTTTTTCAAACAACAAGATTTGCACAAAGAAATTTGTTTTGAGCGTATTCTATCAGACAATAAATTGTCCCAAAATTAAGCAACGTGTCTTTTTGTAATAAATTAAAAACATTTTGGTATAACGTTTTTACTATGACGATAATGAGGCTACATGTAGTATAAAACATCTGAGGAATGAATTAGTTTCAAGAAATAAGTCCTCAACCTCGCTACAAGGCCATAAATGTTCTTCTTTCTGCATAATTTCATTGCACTGTGACATTGTCTTGCTTTGTTAAAATCGAACGTCTTCCGCATCAGATAGCTAAATTTCGATCGTAAAAAGGCTTCAACAACTCTTCTTATTGGAACTCATTAACTTTTTCAGGTTGCATTAAGTCCAAATGATTCCCTGGGYGCCCAGAATGCGCGAAAAATGCATAAGAAGTTCTTCAATCACTTCTGGAATTGGGACGTCGGATTGATGTGGAAGAAATGTCTTTAACACTTTCAYTAATGCCGTCTTAATAATAATTTAATGTGAAGGAGCTGTACGAGGACGGCCACCAATTTTTTGTTGAGTAGCGAACCGGTTCTCGCAAATATATTGATTGAATTCACAACGGCGTTACGACAACGTGCATTAAGATGACCGAAAAGATACGACACCTGAGACAGTTCGCTATTTTTTTCAAGTAAATGGTGTTCAATTAAAAAAAACGGCAACATATAAAGCATCAAATTAATTGGGTTTTTGAATATTTATGGAAAAAGTCTATGAAGCATGAAAAAAATCATGAATAATTGTAGGCGTTAGATTATTTTGAACGACGTGGATCATATTGTTCGTTTTTCACTAGAGTTGTAAAATTTAAGAGCACTCAAACGACAAACTTGAATAAGATATAAAATTTAACAAAACAGCCGCAAATTGTTTTCTATTTTTTATATAATTCAATTTTCAATATTTTATTCACAACTATTATGAAATAAAATATTATTTAGCTACTCTCCTATTCATGCCCTGAGATAAAAAAAAACCTTTACTAAATATTATATTTTACATGATATGATAATTGATAAAGTAAACAAATTACTTCAAATTTTTATTCGTTCCATTAATAAAAAACATATTTTCTCCTTTACTAATTATTACATATGTAGAGAACGTTGGTGATTCATTTCAACAGCAGAGCTTGAGAAATAATTTAATGGAGAGTTTGCTGCATTTTGCATCGGCAGAAAAGCCATATAACGGATTTGAAAATAATCGTAAATTTTATATACCCACGATAGACGTCGAGTACGCCTCTCGAATGTTAAAAAAACATACCCAGATATAATCGTACTATAAGAAATAAAGTTGGGAAACTCCAATTACCAATACTGCGTAAACATGATTAAATCTGGTCGAATTCCCGGGTTTTCGGTAAAATTAAAACGCAAATTTCAAATCGATTACATTCTAACTAAACTAATTAGCAGATTCCAAACTATATTTACAATGAAACTGCTTTAGATTTCCTTTAAAATAAATACAGACATGTTGCCATAATTAAAAAGCAATTACTTAATACAATTAAGACATAATTTTGGAGAGTTTTGAAAGAGTAAATAAGTGTAATTTGTACTTATATTAATAAGCAATTATCATTAATAAAAAAATATATTATTACCTTTGTCGATTTAGATTTTGCAATTTAATTTGAAAAGCCAGAAATTTCTAACAACTTTCAACGGAACATGCAGGAAATGCTCAAACTTTGGCTGATCATTATCTGCCTTTCTGTAAAATGATTCGCTTTGGAAAAATATATGTAACGCAGCATTTTCCATTTCTTCCGCTTCTGTTTGTAATGCTGTAATAACAATAAAATACTATTTCGATAGAAAACATTTTCAAATGTTGCTTGAGCGAATTTTTTTCAATCCTTCATTACCCATGATCCAATAAACGCCCTCACGCAACTGCATTTGTCGCTTTAAAAATTTCAAGCGTTTCTCCTAGCTCAAGTAGCAAATAGGAACTTTGATATTCTGTAGGAAACACTCCAATCTAAAATTCTTGAAAAGTGCTGAATATTCTGATTTTTAATAACTTGATCAAGCGGGTCCAAAACGAAAGTTTGTCTGACCCTCAAAGTGCACTAAGCCATTTGAAAATTCATAAATTTCCATCAATCGTCAGTAGCATCTTGAAACTTTCACATTCTACAGAAAATACTCCAATCTACGATTCCTGAAATTTTGATTCGGATAGGTAGCGAAATTAATTTTTTTATCAAGTTGATGCAACGAGTCTCAAGAGTAAAGTTTTTTAACTTCTATGACAAGTAGAAACTTGAAACTTTCGCAGTCTATAAGAAATATTTCAGTCTCAAAGTCCTGAAAATTACCATTCACACAGAAGAAAGACATTTCTTTAATATTATACAGCCGAATTAGATGTATCTCACAATTAGCACGATTATTTCATTATTAGTTGCCATTCGCACTTAGCTAATAGAGATGATAAAATTGGCTATCTACAATTTTGGAATGTTGTGAGTAAGCAAACTATGACGATAACCACCCGAATTTCCTGTCTCACAACTACACTTCCGAAGTTAATTTGTTAATTAAGTAAGGCAGCTTAGATAAATTTCAGATAGCAACTCGCAAATAATCTAGAAAACACATCTGGCGTCAAGAAAAGTTTGTGGTAAGATTGTATTTTGGCAAATTTTGTTTGGTTAATATTCCTAAAGCAAATTGTTTAA